AAAACTCCACACCCTGGTAGAGAGAACCCTATCTCCCCCACTTAGTGGCGCCGCTGAATTGCAGTGCTCCCTTATGCAGTTTTTTTCGAGAAAAAACCCTGAATATGATTATTTCCCAAATAAAAGATTCAAACACATTTGTAACATTTTCGAAGACGTCTATACAGTATTTATGTTTAGCAAGATTATATGAATATTCCACGTTTACCACCTAATTGAAAAGTGCAATTTGAAAATTATGTAGCTAAATATTTTAATGTACTGTAAAATACTTTATTTTAGCTGGAATTAATTTTCGCTGAAAAGACTTTTTGGCACTGACTTTTGACAAGTTGAATGTAAAATTTAGGAAAAAAGGTATGTTTGCTGGATTTTATTTTCCCTGAATCCTTCCTCCAGCAAAAATTAATTCCAAGCAAAAATAAAGTACTGTGGAATACTTTATTTTCGCTGGAATTAATTTTCGCTGAAAAGGCTTTTTGGGTGTTTTGTGTGGAATTTATTTTCACTGATTTTTGATGAGTTTAATGTAAAATATAGGAAAAAAAGTATATTCGCTGGATTTTATTTTCACGGAAACATCCCTTCAGCGAAAATAGCAAAAATAAATTCCAAGCGAAAATAAAGTACGGTATTCTACAGTATTTTACAGTAAACAAAATTCTGAGTCATGCTGAGTAAAATAAGATGACAAAGAAGCAAAGACCAAAGGCAACTATCATCCAACCCATGCATATAGGAACTGAGCTACAGATTACTCGTTACTGACAAAATTGATAAATTGTACATCTCATTATTACATATTTATCTTTAAAACCAAAGCTTTGTCTTCTTTCACAAAATAAAAATACCGGTAATATTTTATACCGTATCTTTCGAAAAATGTTAGCCAATGACCTGTAGCCAATGTGAAATAACTTCTATTTGCTCCAAATTTAATTCGATGTGTTTACAATGTGCAGTCTCACCCCATGCAATAACAGGACACTCACCATCTATATATATATATATATATATATATATATATATATATATATATATATATATATATATTAGCATTTAAGTGAAAATAGCTGTAATTATCAATTTTTTTTTCTCAGATTGATAAAACATTTCCTGTGTCATTAGTGTCAATCATCGAAATGTGGACACTTGAAAGCATAGCATTGTACATTAAATCACTTGTGAGTGAAAAAAAATGGCCATAAGATTGTGTCCAGTTCTCAAGAGGGCGCCATCTGTTGAATACAATTTTGTCAAGCGAACCTCAAGGATTACCTTAGAAGATTACAACTTACTGGAGCCCGGGGCAAAATGTCAATTCGTTGTCATCTTGAGAGGCTAAGCCGCAGTCTGACGGCTTCTCACTGGTGCGTTTATTTGTTATTTTTCATAACAGTATCCGTCATGACCACGTGACTACTCGTGAAATGGTGACTACTCGACTCATAGATTCAACATCGCATTTTATCTGATATAAGCCTTGTGTAGGGCCACTTTGCCCATGTAATTGTGTCTAAAACAATATTTTTGTAAGATTTGGCCATTTTTATGTGGTTATATTTAAGCAAACAAATGTTCAATATCACAGCTATTATCTTTTTAAAGCGGGGAAGTCGTCACCTACGCATACGTCAGATGACCATAGCGTGTCATTGTTTACAAACAAGCGTCTACCCATGAGCCTTTAAATTTTTAGCGCGTGTTGTTATCGTCGCTTGGAACTCGTGTGCACATGTGACGACCCTCTCGCTTTAATAGAGTGCTGACATTCTTGTATAACTATGGGAAATACAGTTTAAAGGGACACCAAATACTTCATTAAATAAAAGGATACCAGTGGCAGAGAAGTAACACTTTACAGATCAAAGATTTTACCTCTGAATCATCATCATCCATCATCTCAAGCGCCGGAACCGGTTCCCGTGGAACAATCAGGAAATGTACTGGAGCTCTTGGGTTATTACTAAGAAAAGCCACACACTGGAAAAGTTTTGGGAATAGAAAGTGAGTTTGGAATTCCTCACCTGCGTGTCAGAGTCATCGGCATTGCTGATTCTAGGAATGGGAAGCTTGGGAATCACCAGAAAATGTTTTGGAGCTTGTGGATTCACATCCCAGAATGCTAGACACTGGAAAAATGGAATGTACTACGATAATGGAAACAAATATACGATACAGTGTATGATGTTCATACACAAGTTTATTCAAAAATGTAATTTGAATATAAGCCAAAATATTATTTTTAAAAATGTACATAATAGAAACTTAAAAAATTTACTTGTTTTAGTAGTTCAAGATAGAGGTGTTATACATGAATGTCAATGACGAAACAAATATGTAACCACTAAAATATTTTATTTAAAAATTTTGTTGACAGCCCAATTTCAGAACAACGTACAAATGTTATTAACTCGATTTTAAAGATACTTAACATAAAATTGGTTCGAGAGACTTGTTTGATGATTATAATTCTATGAAAAAAAAAATTTTTAGTGTAGAAAGATCATGTTACTTTACTTTCTACCAAAATGTATCGCTAAAACAAGACCTTGGAGGTGATTCCCTCGATACATACCCCTGTAATAAAATGATCAATGATTTCACTACAATAGTGACCCTAATTGTTAAACATAATATACATTGTGTAATATCCAGACGTTAAAAGTTTTAGTTTTATTGCTGCTTGGCAGTTGTTATACCTTTGATTTGTATGATGTATTCTGCATGCTTGTGTTGAATAGAATCCAACATGGCAGAATTGCATGACTGAAAGCAATGTGTCGATTATTCATTGTTAGGGGCAGGCATTACGCAATGAAGCAAAGACATGTAATAAACTATTTTTAAATCTTAATATTTACAAATGGTACTGTACAATCTGTATCATTACAGAGGGGGATGCGGCTTCTATTAAAATGCTACAATGCAACAGAGATGCAGATTCTATTAGAGCATCTACACATATGAGAAATGGTGAATTTTTGATTCTCAATTGTTCAAAAGGATGGGTGTGGCTTCTATCAGGGATGCGGCTTCTAATACAGATTTTACGGTAGTTACACATTGTTTGAGCTTATGCAGTGATAGACTCGCATAATTTCTATTTTGCAGAATAGAGGGAGGCACAATCCTGCCTTGGAAAACCAATTGTCTCGTATGAATTTGAATGTTACTGATTTCAAATTCAAACAGTTGTGTTTATATTGGATGGCTATATTTACAAGAATAAATAAACACGCCTGTAGATTTAAATAAAATTTAAAAGTTACAAATCACTTCATACTAACCTGATCATCTTCATGTATAATTGTAGCAGGTAAGGTTTTATCAATGATTTTACTGAATATTGTAGGTTCTCGGTCAGAGAACCGATTTCTCGTTTTAGCAGCGTCCACTGCCGCTTTGACTTCATCACTTTTGATACCACAGTCACTGTTGGACGTACTGAGTACCTACAGATATAAATAAATTAATCTTAAATTTTTTTTTTCAAAAATGTAAGAGACTATGCATTTCTATTGTTATAATGTTGTTGTTGTTGGAACAGTAACCTCAAATTAATTTGACAGAATATATTTACCGATTCCAACATAATGGGAAATTGTAAGAAAGATAAGATTTTAGTAATACAGGGAATACTTTTATTGAATTCAGATGCAAATATAAAAGATTTTGAATGATTTGTCCTATACAATGGGCATGATAACACACAACACCGCCCTTTATATCGTTTAGGAGGCTTGTACAGACGGTTTGGGTTGATTTAAAATTTTGCACCACTGAACATGTTACTGCTCACATATGCAATGCATTGTGGGAGATAATCTCCCATTATATATATTGGAAAACTATTATCACCCTGGAAACCGTCTAAATTACTATATTATTTTAGCTGGAATTAATTTTCACTGAAAAGACTTTTGGTGTTTTGTATGGAATTTATTTTCACTGATTTTTGACAAGTTGAATGTAAAATATAGGGAAAAAATTTATATTCGCTGGATTTTATTTTCACTGAATCATTCCTTTAGTGAAAATTAGTTCCAAGCGAAAATAGTATTTTACAGTATATTGAAATTTTTCACAATATTAGGATTCATATCATTATTATTATTATTCATATCATTAATAATGTGAATTTTTCAACCAATGCCACCAAGCACAGTTTTCATAAGAAATAATCTAACAACAGAAATTAATAACCAGTGCAAATATGCTAGATCTTTTTTCATGACATTTGGAACTCGAGTGACCCCATTTGTTGGTGTCCTGATGGCATAAACCCATAATAATAGAAGTATGATGAATATAACATATACTGTTTAATTTGCTTCGAGCCTCCATAAGGGTTCACATTTATTCGACGAAGGACACATCCACCATGTACCGTCGTTAGCTTCTGGGTCCGATGGAAGTCGGTCAAAATCGAGGGGTTGTTTAGCGCTTTGTTTTAAATCGTGAAGTCAGTCTCTGTATTCTATCCCTTGATTCATAATATGAGAGTAATACCTTCGGCAAAATTAAATTTGTTTGCACTCCTGTGATTCCAGCACCAGCTGACCGTATATTCACGCGTCGACTGCATAATAGCAGCAGCCTTGCCGAGAGCGCCATGTTGTTTTTACCCAAGGTTCTTTGCGAGACACGAAAATTGAGAGGTACATTCAGACCCCCGGCATTGACCCTCCGAGCCACAGAAAAACGGCTAATTGACCCTCATGGACTATTACAAGCACAATCGTTAAAATAATGCAAAAAATACTAATTGAAATAGGAAATTAAGTTTATGAGTTAGCTAATTGAGTACGTAAACTGGTTAAAATATTAAACTATAGATACACATCTTAATCATTCAAGTTAGTGGAAAGGTAACATGGTACTTACCAGTTTCGTTGCCATGACTCCAAGAACCACGCCAACGAATAAAATAAATACTTTCTGCATCGTGATTTCACTCCGTCGTACAGTCTCGGATGACGTCGAACCAGAGGAACACATTTCAAGTTAACACACACCTAGACATGATGATGGTCGCAAATAATTGCATAAAACGGTTAAACATTGGCTTTATTTATAAATTATAAACTAATATAAGGTACTTTAGTCTAGAGATTCCCCGGTCGGTGACCTTAAATAAATTATGTCACAATGAAATATTGTTTTAATAAGTAACAAACGCCAGGTTAACATCGGCTGAGTCGATTGGTAAGTGCCAGTCGACACCCGGTCGACTCCACCACCGACCTGACTGTGGACGGGAGGTTCTGTATCAATGCAAACTGGGGTGACATCCGCTGTTGTGACACGTCGCCAACAGTCGCAAAGATAGTGGTTGTGTTTACCTTTCTGGAAAACGTGTGTATATCTTCAGTTACGATATCATCAATCGAGAAGCCACGTCCATGTTTTTGGCACGTCCACCACAGCTGGGTGAATCTTTTGTTTACACTTTTAGCTCAGCTTCATGTGACCCTCTAGGTGTACCGTTATTATATACACTGACATTTATGTTATAATATGGCCGAGAAACGAAAGTAAAATAATCAAATGTTGGCGAAGTCGTTCGCACCACAGTCACTCTACTAGTAGAGTGACTGTGTTCGCACGAAGTCGACCTATTAAAATACGTGTGAACGTTTTGTTTGTTTGTTTGTTTGTTAACGTTGGCCCCAGTCATTAACTGTTTTCTAATATTATCGACGGACTGGCACAAGTAACCATTTTATATGCACATTTTATTTCCACATGCGGAACACAATATTGAGATCAAACTGACCAAAAATAAAAATATAGTTTGTTTTACATTTTATAAATATGTGTTTAATTATTCATTTTTTATTTTATTTTAATTTATTATTTATTCACCGTTTTTTTTAAATATTAGTAATCGAAAGCCCACAATGCGACAATAATTAAAATAATACAACATAGAATGT